GTTCACGGTCGGCAGGGACTCGAATCTAAAGATTTGAACCCAGACGCCACAGAAAGGAAGCCTGGTGGCGCTGTGTGATCAGCAACGGGCTGTTAACTGCGAGGTCAGCCAATCAGACCCAGCAGCCGCGCTGTGTGTGGGGGTGGTGGGGTGACGGTGAGGTTGTCTGCTCTACTTGGACTTGGAGCTCCTACATGGGGTTGCTATGAGCCAGAATCGGCTTGATGGCACTGGCATGTTTTCATGCCAGGGAGGTGGCCAGCTGGATGAGAGCTGAATGAGCAATGGCTGGACGGAAAACCACCCGGCAGGTCCCGGAGGAATGCAGACGGCTCGTTTTTCCTTTGTGTCCGCTCCGAGGTTCCGGCCAGCTCCGCCGTGTGGGTGGAGAGGGCTGTGTAATCTTGGAGGAAGCGTGTGCGCTCAAAAGTAATTAGGTGCCTCTTCAGTAAAAAGCATTCTGCTTTCCTTAGGCATCGAATTCCTGAAAGGATTTCGGGTCATACTGGAGGAGCTGAAGTCGGAGGGAAGACAGTGCCAACAACTGATTCTCAAGGACCCGAAGCAGCTCAATAGCAGCTTCAGAAGGACCGTAAGTCACACGCAGGGACCGTGCGCCCCGAGACACGCCATTGTTCTGGGGCTTGAATGGTCCATTGAAAGTCGGTGAAATCAGAGCGGGCAGGGCCAAGGTGGGCGAGTGACAGCATGCGCCACCAAGGAGACTCTTCAGCACCTCTCTGTGGCAAGCGCGCGTCTCTGGTTACACAGCCCTCCCGGAAGGCATCTTTGTGCTCTGGGGAGTGGGGGTTGACAGTCAGAAGCCGTGGCCCCCTCACTGGAAAACAGAGCATTGTAGGTCTTGGTCCCCATTGTCCTCTGAGCCCCAGGATGGTCCAGGCAGGAGCCCCTGGACTTCCTCCCTGCCCTGCCCAGCCCTCCACCTGATGCTGTGTCTGCAGAGCCAGGATGGAGGTCTTGTGTGAGTGGGTGGAGGGGTAAGGGTAGGCCGTGTCCCCTTGTCACCTGTGTTTTTGTTCCCTGTAGGGGATGGAATCTCAGCCTTTCCTGAATATGAAATTTGAAACGGATTACTTCGTCAAGATTGTCCCTTTTCCTTCCGTTAAAAATGAAAGCAATTATCACCCCTTCTTCTTCCGAACCCGTGGTAAGTATGGTCTTTCCAGCTTGCTTGTCCTGAAGAAACTTTCCTTGGGCTTTTAAAGATTTCCCTAGGAAGCTTCGGTCAGAGCACACCAAGACTGGTGTGAAACAAGCCTGTCGTGTCCAGAAAAGCAACAGTTAGCATTGAGGTTTGGCTCAGGGGCCGTTAACCTCACCAGAGACACTCACATGCCTGGCTTGTTCTAGAAAAGGACTTTTTGATCAGGTCACTCACCGCCAGTAAGGAGTCCTCATGGTGCTGTGGAATACGCGCTGGCTGCTAGCCAAAAGGTCAGGCTTCAAACCCACCAGCTGCCCAGTCCCTGAAACACCCTGTGTAGGGTGGCTGTAAACTGGCACGGACTCAGTGGCCATGGGGTCTTGTTGGATTTTTGTTTGTTTGTTAACCATCATTAAAATAGCCATGTACCAAAATACTGCTTAAAATATGAATTAATTGGTTTGGAGTAGAGGATCGTCGGACCAGGAGCCCTGGTGATGTCGTGGTGATGAGGTGGGCTGCAGTCTGCAAGGACGGCAGTTCAAAACCACCAGTGGCTCTGTGGGAGACAGATGGGGCTTTCTACTCCGTAAACAGTCACTGTCTCAGAAACTCAACATGGGTAGTTCTACCCTGTCCTCTGTATTGGACTCATGACTGAAGGGTTTGGTCTTGGAGAGGTTAGGATCAAGAGATGGTTCCGTCAACGGGATGGTGGCCTCTGAATGTTGGCCTACATCTTTCAGGCTAAAGTTAGAAAAATAGTCAGTATTCCCCACACCACCTCTCACTAGAAAGTTCTCTATTTACCAGCCACTGGGACATAGTGGATTACATGTGGGCTGCTAACCCCAAGGTCAGCAGTTCAAACCAACCAATTGCTCTGAGGGATGAAGATGAGGCTTTCTACTTTCTTAAAGAGCTGCAGTCTCAGAAACCCACTCGATTTTAGTGAGTGTTTTACTTGTTTTGTTTGTTTAGTGTCCCAGTCCCGGCTCAAAATGCTCCAAAAAATCCCTGTTGACTATCACCCTTCAACCATAATAAATCTACAATGCATTTAATCCTATCTTCCCCACTTCCAAAAGTAGAATCATGCACAGAGGCGAATGGGCTTGCCTGTAGCTGGGCTCAAACCTCAGACATCTGATTCTAGAATCTACTCTCAAGCCATGCTCAGTTCCTGATGGCTCGCTCATGTTTCCAGATGGTTCTGTATATGTTGTTGGATGCTCTTGAGTGAGTCTCTGACCCCTAGTCACCCCATAGGACAGAGTAGGGCTGCCCTTCGAGGCTGTTTCTGTACGAGAGAGATGGCCAGGTCTGTAGCCGTGGAACCCATTGGAGGAGTCCAACCATCAGTGAGCCTGCGGGTCAGCAGTTCCAGGCTTAGCCACCGTGCCACCATAGCTCCTTGTTGGCCTTTGGCGTCCGTCTGATCTCCCTGCGTCGACATTTCCTGACGTGGTGATTGCCACCCTGAACACCTGAAGTGCCTCCTCTCGCCTGCCTTGTAGAACTCTCTTTGGCCCAGCATCCCCACTTGGTGGTCTGCTTCTGCTCCTGCTCCTGGCCTCGGTGGTGTTTCTGTGCTCCACTCCAGTCTACAGCGGTGTTTCCCATGGCTGAATTCTCAGCAGTGGTGGTTATCCATGCAGATGAACTCTTTTATAGCAATCAGTTTTGCTGTCTTCATTAAAATCGGGTTTTATACTGGAACGTTTGTAGGCGCCATACTGAAAAAGTGAAATACTGATAACCTGCCTGGGTAATGTGGATGAACCTTGAAAACATTATGCCAAGTGAAATAAACAGGCCACATATTGTATGATTCCACGTCTATGGACTATCAGCATAGGCCAGGACAGCAAAGTTTTACTGGTGATTACCAGGGTGGAGAGGTGGAGGGAAAGGGGCCTGCATTGCACAGAGGATGCTGAGCTTGTCCCAAACCAAACCGAAATGAAACTAACTGCCCTTGAGTCCATGCTGACTGATAGTGGCCCTGCAGGAGAGCGTAGAACCACCCCTGTGAGCTTCCTATACTGTAACTCTTGACTGGAGTAGAAAGTTCCAGCTTTCTCTCACAGAGCTAACTGGTGATTTCAACTGCTTACCTTACATTTCCAGCCCAGTGGGTAGCCGCCATGCTGCCAGGGTCCCCTGTTGCTTCTCTCATGGGCGGTGGGCAGTTCTGAGACTGGGTAGTGATGGTGGTTGTACAACCTTCTGAGTGGAATGAACATCCTGGAATGGTACGTGTTGGAAAATGTTGAAATGTGAAATTTTCAGCTATGTATATACTTACCGCAATAATAATAGTTTTTAAACATGAAAAAGAACACGATTCCATATGGCAAAAGTCCATGTGCATTTCACAATGTCTCTTGATGTCTTGCCCATAATAAGCAGAGGATTCAAAGACTGTGTTTATGGAAACCTCACCTAAATCAAAGCTGGCATAATATAAGATTCATTTTTTCTGTTGGGAGCAATGTGTCTGTGGGGGGGTGAGGTGCTGGGGAAGGGTAGAGTGTTCCGGGAACATAAGCCCTGGGCCACCATTCCAGTGTACTGTGGCCCTAATGATGCTTTTGATTGTCTTGGCAGTGCAGGGCCATTTCCCAAGAGGTCTCTTGGGTGAGCAGCGAATTGCTAATGTGACATGTGGGCAAGTTGTTTGCTCTTTTTCATTGTGTTTTATCATGGGTCAGCCGTGTTTCAAAGCTGCTGGCTTCGGCATCTGTTGCTCAGGGCCGGCACTACCAGTGAGTAGGGGCCTGGATGCTGCTTTTAGACGCTGTAAGAGGATTTTTAAGTTAAGAGCACCAAGGTTGAAATCACTCCCCAGCTGCGACTGGGAGCACTTCGAGGTGCTCTCCTGTCTGCTCAACACCAGTCCTGATGGAGTCCCCAAAGCCCACAGTCATCGAGTACATTCTGGCTCATTGTGGACCGTAGGATGGAGCGCTAGAACTGCTCCCTAGGAGTTCGAGGCTGTTTGTTTTTACGGAAGTAGAGCCCCCATCTTTCTCCCGAGCAAGCAGCGGCTGGTGGGCTTGAACCACTGCCCTTTCCATTAGCAGCCAAGGGCTTAGCCAGTGTGCCACTGGGGTTCTTTCACAACGTGGTAGGTGCCTAGTTCTTTCGGTGGTGTGGACAGTGGCATGAGTTCAGGCCCACTCAGGCTCCACAAGCTTTTCTTTTTTTTTTTTAAACATCATTTTAACGCTTATAACAACCCATGCATTGATTGTATCAAGCATATTGCTTGCCATCATTATTTTCTAAACATTTACTTTCTGTTTGAGCCCTTGGTATCAGCTCTCTTTTCTCCCTCCCTCTCCCTTTCCCACTCCACCAGCTCTTTACACCTGTGCAGCGTCACGGTTTCTGCCTCTTTGGCCGCAAGGAAGACTGCACTGCTGTTTTCCTGCTGTACCATTGTGAGCCTTCCGAAGATGCAGGCGCCCTGCATCGTGGTTGTATTCATTGATGTTGTTCCCTTCCAGCGGCACCCAGCATTGTCTGTTGGGGAGGGGGTATCAGCCCAAATGCTGCTTGAAAACACCATTCTCAAAGCACAAGTGCTCGTTCCATAGTCTAAGCAGGCAGAGCCGCTTGAGTTGTTGTTTTCGTTGGGGTGGGATGAGGGAATGAACGTTGTTCACAGAGTAAATGAATATCTCATGCAACAGTTTCGCAACTTGTGACATGAGTTGCAATCTCAACACAGCAACACACTCCCCACTTCCTCCCCGGGTCCCCATGGTCCTCCTCTCCTTCCTGCCTCCCCAGCTTTGTGTGTGGGCAACTGCTGCCCCTTTCATTGCGATGGCTGACTGTTCGGAGCAGCGATTGCCTCACAGGCGCTACTGTTCTCTTGCTGGGCCTATTTGGCCGAATGGTGATCCCCTGAGTGGCTTCAGCTCTTGGCTTGAAGGGAGGGGGTTAAGGGCCATAATCTCAGGGACTCTACCAGTGTCAGCCACACCAGTGAATCTGGTCTTATTATGGGGGTTGTTCTACAT